GAAACCTAGGGGATAAAGGGAAAGAAGGAGCTCAAGAGAGGTAGGGCCTTAGGAGAAGGGTTTTAGGGAGAAAGGGGGGAAATGGGGGCACTTTAAGTGGGAAAAGCATGATGGAGGGGTGAGACAATGCGAGAGAGAAATAATGCCTAGCTAGTTTTGAAAACCAAAGTACCAGACTGGTGGAAGTAACCTTCTTGGATGTTTAACATACTTTGAAGCCTATAATCATTTGGTCATTGGGACATAAATGACAGTTTTTGCTCCTTGCCCTCCTAGGTCGACTAGTTCAGGGGACTGGGAATTTCTCTCCAAATGTCTTGTAATTGTGGTGGGACACTTATCCTCTTGATCAAGGAGGCCAAGGAGACCCCACAAGAGATGGACTTGAACCAGTGTCTAGTCTACAAAGAGGAGGGTCAACACAGAGGAATCATTTCCTCCGTGCTTCCAAGCAAAGCCAACCATGGTCGAGCAGGACCTTTGACTTATCTTCACATAGGCGGAACTGGTAAAAGAAAGGAGCCAGGGGCTCCTCCCAAGCCCATGTGACCCCTGAGGAACAGATCCTCACACGACCTTAAGAATAAAAATAAATTCGTTTATCTGGGCCAACTGTGTAGCCTTAAATACCCAAAAGGAAAGTATAACCAAAGATGAAAGGTACCTATATAATTTCTTAAAGAGTCCATATGTATAGCTGAAGACTACGTAACAAGCAACAATGCCAGACAGGTGATACCTTCTTTTGAGTTGTTGGCCAGGGTGGCCAAAGGGACTCCCAGATAGTAACCCAGCATAGAACTGGGAAAATGAACAGCAGACCCCAATCTTATCTAAAGGAATATTGACAACTGATTGCTGCTAGATGAGGAACAGCTGACCCTTCTAAAACAAAGACCTCTAGATAGGTGACTAGATTCACCAGAAGGGCAAGTAGTGGGGAAGGGCTGGGGGTGGCGACAACACAGCAGACAATAGAAGGGATATCAGGGTATAAGGACTCCAGTGGGGCCAGGGAGGCTATGGGAGGCTGCCATCTGGGAAGTGGTTGTAAAGTCGAATAAGATGGTTTGGAATGTTCTGTGTGATATACACACAAACACACACAAAAAAAAAATCAACAATTTTTTAAAAATGTATTATATTTGAGGAGGAAGCATGGAAATTTATGTCATGTTAATTAGTAGAGGTGATAAACATTACCATTGAAATCTGCCCGATGACTTTATAGACATACACAGGCGCCAAGGATCCACGTGCAACCGATTATGACTAGTAATAATCAGATACATACAGATTAGAGATGCATGTGCCAACATCTCAGTGTTAGTAGCAAAAACAATGAGTCTTTCTGCAAGGAACAATATATTCTAAAATGAAATGGAGATCTGTTTTAAAGATTATAAACTCATTCAATTTTATGTCTTACAGGGCTTATACTGAGTTCAGTATTGTATAACTGTATTAACTCAAGTCTGAACCTAGAAACTTACAGCCACTTGTGAAATAGATGCACTCTTGCTCTGGAGTGTGTTACTGAATATGTCAAAGCTGCAGTGAACTACTTCTTCTAATCATGTAGTTATTAAAAATTTAAAAAATGGTTAAAAAAATAATTCTTCAAAGCATAAAAATTTGTTCCTTAATAATTAGTAGATGTGAAAAATATTACCATTGAAATCTACCTGCCGACTTTATATCCATGCTCAGATGCCAAGGAGCTCAGAAAGTAACCAACTGTGACTAGTAGTAGTCAGATATATAGAGATTAGAAGTGCATGTGCAAACACCTTCATGTCAATTGCATGAAAAATGAATTTTTCTGTATGAAACTATGTATTTTGGTAATGAAATGGGGATCTTTTTTAAAGATTAAAACCATTTAATTTTATGTCTTGTAGGGTTTATACTGAGTACAATATTGTATAACTGTAATAATTCAACTGTAAACCTAAAAATTTACAGCCAATTTTGAAAGAGATGCATCTTAGCTCACGAAATTGTTACTGAATATGTCAATGCTGTTGTAATGAAATGCCTCTTCTAAGTATGTGGCTAATAAATAAATAATTAAAAAATATTTCTGTTGTTAAGTTGGGTATAGGATTTTAAAGATATTCAAATTTTCAGTTATTCTTCAAAACCTAATAGGAAATATTTTAGATTATTGTTGCATAACCTTAAACTTTGAGTTGTATTATTTTGCTTCAATTATATAGATGACACTTCAAAAGCTGACAGATCTAAAGCAGATGAAGATGGTGATGAAAACCAAGATGACAAGGACTATCATAGAAGTGACCCACAAATTGCTATCTGTCTAGATTGTTTACGAAATAATGGGCAATCAGGGGACAACATAGTTAAGGTGAGTGGTCAAGTACAATTGTATTTTTTAATGATCATCTTTTATAATAAACCACTTTTTTAAAAAATGAATTTCCAGTGCATCAAAATGTTTTCATTCAAGGTTTTTATGAAGTTAATGCAATGGAATGCCCTTCTCTACAATTCCATACCTAGGCATGGTCAAAGCAGTTGCTTTCCAGGCACCTTTTCAGGTCCACCCCAACCATCCCAGGCCAATGCCACCATCTAGTGGCTAATGCAGATAATCACAACTGTTTCTCATCATTCTTTCATTTTTAAGGTTCAGCAACCAACCCAGGCTCTGGTAATTTCATGTCCAGTATTTTTATTTAAATTTTACCCTTTAATTCTCTGAACCAGCCTCTCATGTCATGGCTAATAGGTTTTATGAATAAAATAGTTGATTTTGAGGTTACATTGTGTGCTGTAAAAGTACCTGTTGTAGTCCTTGAAGACTTTGGTTATTTTCTCTGCAGTCCTCATTTCTCATACCATTTCCCTGTGTCTGGCAATAAACCTTCTCTGCAAGGAGTTAAAACTCATGGCTATCTCAGTTATTGATGTGCCTTAGTGTTTATATATATTATTTAGTGCTTTCTGATTTCTGTCAGTTCTTGGAGAGTTTCATAGTATATCTTGATCATATTCTGTTTTATATGGGAAGTAACTTTGTCACTAGAAATGCTCACTACTTTAGCTCTTATAAAAGGTATTGTTGCTTTGTCTAAGTGCATGTGAGCCACTGAGGGTGTTTTCTCTTTGCATTGTGTTTTATTCACAAGCTCATTCATTGTTGGCTCCAATTTTCCTTTACTTCTGTGTAAATCAGGAGGCCTGTGGGTTAAATTTTTTCTATTATTTTACAAACAATGATGTTTTATTAGGAAAAAATAACTCAGATTTTCAGTTTATCAGCGTCTTGCAACAGAGAACATATATATATATATACACATATATGCATAGTAAGCCAATAAATATTTATTCACTGTGTGGCTATTGATATAAGTAGTAAGAAAAAGACTTGCCACTTGGATTGAGGGTGTGGCTCATTGGCTGAGTGCCAGCCTGGAACACATAAGGCCCTGATTTGTATCCCCAGGGCTGGAAAAGAAAAATATAAAAAGTGTCACTCAAGGAACTTGGTTGATCTTACATATATATATATAAAAAAAGATTAATTAATTGCTCTGGTTAAGGGGGTTAGTTGACTGAGGCATGTATAAAGTACAGCTACCTTTAGCAGACTGTCAGTTCCCTGAATTATCCTTCCAGTTTTCTCTTTTTCTGTGTGTTCTGATGTAAGTCCTTTCCCTTTTTGTAAATGTTGTCATCGTGACTTTTATAACTGTTTCTCTCCTCTTGCCAGCCACTCCTGTAATCTCCTTGTGGTGAAGTTCTTCGTAGAAACTGTGGCTATCCTTTTGCTAATATATGAGTTGTTATCTGATTGAAAGTTAGGTCAGTGGAAAGGCTGAATATTTTTTCATGAGTAAATCTGAAGACTGCTTTGTATGATTTATTTAGTGTTAAGATAGTCTTGCTAGGTAGCCCAAGCTGGCCTTGAACTCACTGTTCTCCTACCTCATCATCCAAAATGTTGAAACTATAAGCATATACCACCACATCCAGCTGAAATACTGAATTTTAGAAATTAATCTAGGCCAGACGTGGTAGCCCACCTTTAATCCCATCACTTGGGAGGCAGAACCAGGAAGATCTCGGTGAGTTCGAGGCTAGCCTGGTCTACATAGTGAGTTCCAGGCAAGCTGGGGCTACAGGGAGACCCTGTCTCAAAAAGACTGGGGAAAAAAAGTACATGTAGCAAAAAGAAAAAATGGATTCATCAACTCACATTAAAGGGCTCATAAGAAAGTTTTAAAAAAATATATAGAATGAGAAGATATTTGAAATTTACATGCTTCATAAGTGTTTAATATCTAAATATTTTTAATTCTTACATATTAATAAGCAACTTAATTTTGAAATATTCTTGAAGTTTTTTATTTAATCACTTTTTAATTTGACAATAACATGCATGTACACAATCCATTCCTATTACTCTTATCCGCCACCACCCCTGCTTTTTTGTCTCCCTCGCAGCTGTACTTATTCTACCTCCTCCATCAGGTCCCTTCTCCATATTTTATGTCATTTGTTTTGTGACTCACTAAGTTTAACCGGTGCCCTCTGAGTGATCCTGCGTATGGAGCTGTCCAAGGGCTCCCAGTAGGCTCTCCAGTGGATACAAATTTGAAGATAATGGCTTCCTCTCCCTTTGATTCCACTAGTAGCCAGTCGTTCAACAGGGAGAGGTAGAGCCACAAGGGCCCCTCGTTACTCTGTGACTGGCTTTTGACAGTCCAGTTTTCTGTGGGCCATCACAGGCAACCACAGTTACTATGAGTTCATGATTACAATGGCTGTGTCATGCCCTGAAGATTAGCATTTTGAAGCCCCTCTACCTATCTCCCAGCCCTTCTGCAGTAATCCCCAAGCCTTGGAGTAGGTGGTTTGAATGTCCTGTTTAGGGCTAAACACTTAACCTAACTTTATTCTCAGCATTTTGAGCAGCCAAACACCTGTATTCAGCACTGTTCACTGCAGAAAGAAGCTCTCTGATTAAGGCTAAGGGTATGGTCAAGGATTTGAACAGACATTTCTCCAAAGAGAATACACAACCAGTAATCACATGAAAATATGTTAAACATCCTTAGTCACTGGAGCTATGTAAAATCAGATTCACAATGAGATTTATACTCACTAGACTCGCCTTAGTTTTTTTTGTAAAGACAAGGAACAAGGAAAATTGGAACCCTGATGTATTGGTGAAATGGTGATGATCTTCTGGAAAACAGTTTGGAAGTCTCTAAAATGTTAAGCATAAGAGTTTCTGTCTGGCTTAGCAGTTCTACTCCTGAGCATTTGATTATATTTGAGAATGTAAAATATTCATATAAAATTTTGTGTTTATATATATCACAGCATTCTTCATAATAGCCCAAAGTAAAAATAACCCAATGCCTATTAACTAATAAATGGATAAACAAAATGTATCTACCCACTGCAATATTCTTCAATCATAAGCTGGAATGAGCTATGGATTCATGCCACAATGTGTACCACATAGCTGAATCTTGAGAACATTGTGCTAAGTGAAAGAGCCACAATCTATTTGTCTGAAATGCCCAGACTCAGCAATTTCAGACACAGAAAGTAAACTGGTAGTTGTGAGGCTGAGGGAGGCAGGAGTCGGAAGTAATTGCTTATGTATAAAGGGTTTCTTTGGGGATTATAAAAATATTTTGAAATTAGATAATTGTAATTGTTGAACAGCTATGAATATTTTAAAAACTATTAAGTTGCTCATATTAAGTAATGACTTATGGTGTTATATATCAATTAAAAAAACAGTCAAGCTTGTTAATTATGCTAGGTAGAGCTACAAACCATAACCATGATGAGAAAGTAAAAGAAAAATCTTAAGGAGTTTGGGCTTAAAAAACAAAACACATGGAGCATGCCTTTAGTCCCAGTACTCAGGATGCAAAAGCAGGAAGATCTCTATCAAGTTCCAAGCCAGTGGGGGCTACAAGAAGACCCCTGTCTCAAAAAAGACAGACAGACACACACACACACAAAATAAAAACCCACAAAACTGAAGATTCACTGAGTTGTATCCTAGGCCCATTTGAACTTGCAATAAAGGAACACTATATGATTTTATATTTAGTCTTTTAACCCTTCAAAAACAAAGGGATAAAGATTCAGGGCCTTTATTTTTATCAGCTTCTGACAATTGCCAAGCCACTTCTGTCTCTGAAATTGCTGAGCCTGGACACTTTACAAATAGACTCTTCTACTGTGGGATCAGGGAAACCAATTTAGAAGCAAAAAGGAGACATTTCCAAATTCTTCTTTTCGTGGCCTGATGTGGAAAACAGGACACAAAGCAAGGATCATGTGTCATGGAAAGAGAAGGTAGCATTCTTGAGACAAAACAGTCGTTTTCCATATAGAATTTTTTCAAATATGCAGATATTCCTAAAATTTTATTTCTGAACAGCTAAATAGGGTAAGGTTAGATATGGACTCCCTATGGCAGTCTGCCTTGAGCCCCTAGCATGTAGCACAAATCCTTATATTTTCCATGTGTCAGATAATGTAGATGGCAAGAGCCACAACTCTTCCCATCCACATATTTTACTGAACACCCCCATTTGTTATGCCCCCATAGAAGGTGTCAGTCACTCTTTTGATGTCTATGCAATGGTTCCCAGGTGTATCCAGCTAGAAAATGGGACAGATTAGGTATCACTTGTTACTGTATTTGTATTTTCTAAGTATTTACAAATCAACTTTTAAATAATCCAGACTAGAATTTTGTTCGATTAATGTCAAACTTTATTGAATTTAAATTCCAGAAACAAGCTTTTGCTTTGTTTTAAAAATGTTTCCTTAACTCTTCTGACATCTCTAGAATTATTAATAGCTTGTGGAAGGCTGAACAGTGATGTCAAAGTCATTTTTGGAGGGTCTTCAGGTAGAATTACACTTAAAAGCCTTCCAGTGCCTCCACGTGCCTTCACATTCTCTGATTCATTGAGCCATGTAAAAGTGTTCTGATTGGGTATAAAATATCTGGAGCAGGGCATATAGAAAAGCTTTGGGTGGTTGGGATGATGCGAACAAATGAGAGAGAAGATGGGCCTGTGTGTTCACCCTGTTTTCACATTCGGAGTCGGGAGAGCAGGTTTTTGCTGTAGCTGTACTCGTAATTTCTGTTTTCCTTAAACGAATACTTTACCATTTGAATTGTGGCCAGAGATCATTTGTGGATTTGTTTCTATGAGTTTTTGCCTGAAAATATGGTTGCTGGGAAATAAACATTAACTGAATAAGTCTATTTTTGACTTGAACTTGGGAACAGAAGGTGTTGTTCCAAATGTTGACTCTATTTGCAGTACATATAAATAGGAATAATACTTTATGTCTTAATTTTTTTTCTTTTTTTAAACATTTTTTAAATTTTTAATTTTTTGTTCTTTTTGAGACAGGGTCTCTCTGTAGCCCCAGCTGGCCTGGAACAAGATGTGTCACCCAGGCTGGGCTCAAACTTACAGAGATCCATCTGCCTCTGCCTCCTGAGTGTTGTACCACACCTGCTATGTTTTTAATTTTATATTGATTTCTGTTTTGACTTTGGTGTTCAGCTAACTTTTCAGGTTGTGGAATGTGTTGGTTAATATGTTTAGCATGTCTTCAATCTCCTTTTGTCTTTTTGTTGGTTGGTTTGAATGTCCATTCTGTATTGAGTCTTATACTTTAGTGATGCTCAAGCTTAAAGAGTGAATCAGAACCTCATTTTACAAATGAAACACATCAAATCACACAAAACTTAAGAGTGTTACAGTAAAATGCAGATAGTCTATCCCTGGGACATGCTTTCCTTCAGCCCAAAGTCCATACTGCACAGCTTCCAGGTACTGAGGCATATTGTGGCTTAAACAGTTTCTGCTATTCCCTGGGGCTCTTCCTGGCCCTGTGGAAAGCCACTGCTTTCCATTATGTCATTAAAAGATGTCCCTAAGAGAAATAGATTTTTTCATAAGCCTGTTGGAAAAATACACATATAATATATATGTGAGTTCATGTGTATATCTGAAGAGTATGTAGCAAGTATCACAATGTCTGAGGTGCCCAGCCCTAAGTGACTTATGTGTAGTACAGCCTCTACACTTAAGGCTCAGGGAACATGGTGAAAGAGAGGATGTAAAGAACGTAAGAGCCAGAGGGACTAGACACCTGCTGCTAGTTAATGCATTCTAATCATGATAGGGAAGCTGCACCCATGAAATCTCCACAGTGTGGTACCCTAACAAGATCTCCATAACAAAACTAGTTGACATGCCAAGGTGGATAGGATGACTGTCACAGGGTCCCATTTCAAGATGAAGAGCTACAAGCAATTAATGGAAGCTGAGGATGGGACAATCAGTTTTCTCCAGGGATTGGCTCCCTGAGAGATTATCTGATCTCAATTGGGCAACCCTAAACACTTGAACATATGAACATCACATCACTAAATGGAATCAGTGTATTTATATATATATGTATATATGTGTATATGTATAAAGATATGTATATTTATAAAGATATGTATGTCTAGCAATAATAAAGAAGAGGATAAGAAATTATGAAGGAGTTGAACATGGGAGGAGTTGGAAGGGGGACTGGGAGGGTAGAAATAATACAAATAAAATACTCATGAAATTCTCAGAAAGTAAAAATAATTACATTAAAAAGTCATTAATGCTTTCAGAAGTAACATAAAAATTATTATTTTGTGGCCTTTTGTTATTAAATTGATATTTTCTTTACAAAAATGTCTTAGAGAAAAACATTGTCAAGATTTTCCTAATTCATACGGTAATGCATTCTTGAAGAATGTCCTGTAAAGTGGCAATAATTAGAAACATTTTAACCTATGAGAATGGAAACTTTTTTACATTTTGAAATTCAAAACGATAGTGAAAATTGTGCCTTTGGTTTTAGTCTTGGTTTTGGTTTGGTTTGGTCTGGTTTGGTCTTTTGAGACAGGGTTTCACTTTTGTAGCCGTGGCTGACCTCAAACTCACAATCCCCTGCCACATCCTCCTGAATGCTGGAATTTAAAGCATGTGACATCATGCCTGGACGTGCCTATGGTTTTATTCAAAGCAAAATAAAGTGTTCAATTTGTTATCTTTATTTCTAGGGTCTAATGAAGAAATTCATTCGATGTTCTACACGTGTTACTGTAGGAACTATTAAAAAATTTCTAAGTTTAAAATTAAAACTTCCAAGTTCTTATGAGGTAAGTAAAACAGTGTCTGATTGTGATCATTTTGAAGATTCTGGTCTGTAGTAAACTAACAAAAGAAATCAAATTAAGTAAGAACATATTCAAACTAATTTCTCTGGCACTTTAATTTTTAAGGAAACTGGTTATTTTCATGTTAATACTTTCATGTGATACTGATATAGAATTTTATAATTTAACATATCCTGAGTAAATCATGATACTAATGCATTTGGTGTTTTATAATTAAAGGTGATATTTGGGAATTTCTGTTAAGTATGCCTAGCATATAAATGTGCTAGCTAAATGAGTTCTTTCTTTTTTATAATGCCAACATGCTTTAAGGCACATCACTTTTTAAAAATTTTATTGTTTGACAGGTTCCTTTCCTATATTTTTAGAATGAATTTTAGTTGTTCCATGCCCCATTTCCTTCTCTCATACCCCTCCTTTTCCTGTACCCTCCACCTCTGGTTTGAACCCTTCTCAATAAATCTCCCTCCTACTGGTCTTTGTGTGTATGTGTGGTCCACTGAGTTCAGTTAGAGTTTCTTGCCCAAGTGTGGGTGGGAGGTTGTTTACTATAGCAAGGGCAACTTACCAGTGGCTACACCACTCAACAAACAACCATTAACTGTCAGTAGTCACTCAGGGATGGGGCCTCAGAGGCCCAGTCTTGTGCAGATAACCACAGTTGCAGTGAGTTCACGGATACAATGGCTGTGTCACGTCCAGAAGACAGCATTTTGCTGCACATCTATTCTCTGGCACTTACATTGTTTCTGTCACCTCTCTGCACTGTTCTCTGAGCCTTGGAGGAGATGATAAGAGCTGACCCTTTTAGGACCAAGCACTCTACTATCACATATTCACAGTACTTTGGCAAGTTACGTATTTCTGCATTAACTGCCACCCACTGCAGTAATAAGCTTCACTGATGAAAGCTGGGCACAGCACTAATCTCAAATGGCAAGCTGGAGCAGGGGCCAAAATACAGGTACCTCTCAAGATGTGTCACTTTTTGTTTTTTGGTCTGTTTCAGACAGGGTCTCCCTGTAGCCCCAGCTAGTCTGGAATTCACTCTGTAGACCAGGCTGGCCTTGAACTCACAGAGATCCACCTGCCTCTGCCTCCCAAGTGCTGGGATTAAAGGCGTGCGCCACCACGCCCAGCTCAGAATGTCTTTTTATTCAAAAAGAATTTCATAATAGGGTTCACATAGTTCCAAAAATGATTATTGTTTAACACTAGGCAAAACCAACATATTGCATTCTCATAAATGCAATATGAGACAAATTGCCCTGGTATTGATCACAGCATAGCTCGTAATGGGTTGTGTTCAGAGAACACTGATGATCCTAGATGTGTCTGCAACATAATAAAGAAATATGGCTCTTATCACCTATTCAAATGGAAGATTTACACCTTCAATTAATAATACTTATTTCTTTCCCTTTAGATTCTAATAGTAGCATATGCAAAACCAAAGACCAGGACTTGTTTCCAATATAAATAAAGACATCAAAAGCAGTGTAGTTTTTCTGGCTTATTTCAGCAACATTAACTTTATGAACAGTTACATGGGAGAAATAAAATATAATAGAATTTAAACAAAGACAGTGACAGATGGGAAGTGTCTATTTTTGAGGAAGCATCTGATGCTGAACTTGATGGAAATTTTTCTCACATGACTAATGACTAGTCTGGGTTAATTTTTTTTATTATGGTTTGATTCTATATACTAAAAAAGTCCAGAGATACCAGTATTTGTATTAGGAAAAAACTGAAAGTATCAGCCCAATGTACCTGGAAAACATAAAAGATAACAATTATAGATAACACCTATAAACATAGGTGCTGAAATTATTTATATGGTATGGTTTTATATTTTGTTTTCTTCTTGCAAAATATGTTGTGTTTATTTCCTTTAAAGTCTGGTTCACTGAGTTGATTCTTTTGTTTTCAGGAAGTTACTAGAGCTAAGAAAACTGTTACTTTTACCTACTGCCATGTTATTTCTCTAATACCAATTCTTTGTCTATCCCAATCAAAGAACTTTTCCTGTGATTTCTTTAAGAATATTGATTGGTCACCCATAGTTTTGCTGCCTAGCAAATAGGGGTGCGATTTAATATCTGAGCCTGACACATCTGTAGTAGCGTTGCTAATTGGACAGGATAGTTGTTAAATGACTGCAGATGTAGCATATCTGGTCAGTAATTGGATCTTCAGCCAGTCTCTTTACAGCTTTGTTTATGAATTTGTTTTGCAAGCAAGGTAAAGAAAAAGAAGTTACCTACTTTGTTGTTTTAGGAGTTAATGAAATAATGCCTGAAAAAAATTTCAAAGTTTGTGTGTCACTATAAATCAGTAAAAAAGCCAATAATTTAGCTTCCTATGTCTAATATAATTGGGACTATATTTGTTTTACCCTTAAAGTTCAATATTGTAGTCTCTGTCTAGATAGACACAGGTTTATTTAAAATACATTCTTTTTTCCACCTTCACACTTCCAATAAAATCTTACCAGTTGCTTTCAGTAATTAAGATGTTTTTCTGTCAGGATCTGTGATAAATAATTGTTAAATACACTGTGTTGAATTAATGAATCACAAAGTTACTATGGACTTTTTGAGGATTTGGGGGTTGGTTTCCTATAACCTAGAGCAAAAGTAAGCATTCGTAAGTACAGCCTTGTTTGACATTTCATGCAAGGTGAGAAGAAGTTCACAAACAAGCCGCCAGGTACCCCTGGGACGCATGGATCTGAGCCATGGTCTGAACCCTAACTAAGGATAAGGTAACCCAGTCTTAGGAGCTTGAAAGGATTCTGAGAGGTGGAGGGGTTATGAGGAATTGCCACACTTCATTCTCATTCAGTAAAAGCAGCTCCAGAAATATGTCTAAAACCTGTAAGGTCACCCACAGACATGGATCAAGAAGATTAGCATTGTATTTATAAATTATGTGTATAAACTTGAGATACAATTGTGTGGGACAAGATAAACACTGTTTCATGTCTCTTATATCTGATATTCTATGAGAAAGTAGTTTCAATAAAAATATTCAGTGTTCTTGAAAATTGTTATTTCTATGTTATAACTACTTGGATTTTTGAAATTTTTTTAAAATGTGTAAAAATACTGTGAATTCAGAATTTCTTTGCGTTAATATATCTATTCTTTTTAAAGTTGGATGTGCTGTGCAATGGTGAAATTATGGGGAAGGATCATACTATGGAATTCATCTATATGACAAGATGGCGGCTAAGAGGAGAAAATGTAAATTGCTTTTATATTTACCTATATGTATATTTGTATATTATTATGTAATTCAGTTAGGAACTTTAAAACTTATTTGGGAAAGAGAAGAAACTGGTTCCTCTTTTTTTCTCCAGCACCTTAAAAATTGGGGCCAGGTGTGGTGGTACATGCCTTTAATCCCAGCACTTGGGAGGCAGAGGTAGGTGGATCTCTGTGAGTTCAAGGACAGCCTGGTCTACATAGCCAGTTCAAAGCCAGCTGGAGCTACAGGGAGACCCTGTCTCAAAAACACCAAAAAACAAAAAAATAAAAAGAAAGAAAGAAAAAATTGGTTCAAGTACAAGACTAATGTCTATGTTAAACTTTATTTGAAGGTGAGTTTAAAAGTCCAGCTATACTTATATCTGGGATTCTGCTAACTTCAAAACAGAGATGAGATACTTTTTTTAAAGTTCAATAACTAATAGAAATATAAAAATATATGAAGTGCAATTGGGTAAACTACATACTACCAGAATATGATTAATCATAAGATTTATTTGGGATTGTATTAGAAGGAACAGAAAGGATAGAATTAGATAGTCTTCAGGTACCTCCCTCATACTAAAAGTATAAATTCAAGTGGGCATGGTGGCGCATGCCTGTAGTCCCAGCACTTGGGAGGCAGAGGCAG